ACAGCCACATGTTTGGGAAGCCCTGTATAAGTATTACAGTCATTGTAAACTCACAACAATAAAATGTTTATAGTACCCTTTATTACCACGAGTTTGGGATGATCATATTAGTTATGCAGGTTTTTCTAACAAGGGGCAATGAAAACTTTATAGCACCCTTCACCAACATATCTTCTCCCTTTCCCTCTCAGAGATTTATTACAACTTACATTTAAAACTGTTCCACAACAATCTGACTGGTTAGAAATTGGTCACTAAACCCAAAACAGATTGTGCTTTTGCTCTTCTAGGCAAAGGGCAACAATCTACATCTGACATAAATCACTGTTGTCAAGCAGGGACATTTGACCAGTCTCCCATTAATCCCCTACAAAAGGAGCTGGCAGGCTTGTCCAAATTCTTCTGCTTGGCAGTGGAAATGGCCATCTCTCTGAGGGACATAAGAATTGCCATCTAATGCAGTGTCCTGTCTATGACAATGGCCAGCACCAGATGCTTCAGAGGAAGGTGTAAGTGTAACACCGACAGACCCCGGTCATCGGCGGGCGGGATCGAACCTGGGACCTCTGGAGCTAAATGCATGAGCCTCTACTTCATGAGCTAAAAGCCATATGGCCCTTAGCTAAGGCTGTAGAGTAAACTCATTAATCTCTAAGTGGTCTTGGTGCCACTAGATGGGACAGAACACCACACCCAGAAGGTGTGTGGTTACATAAAGACTCCACAGTGGGCAGATGTGGAGTAATCTGATCAGATGTTATCAGATGTGGGGTAACCCCTCCTCCCCACTTTAGATGTTTCCTAATCTCTATTTGTTAGGGATTGGTTTAAAACCTGAAGCATGAGGTTTAATATCACTTCCTGGGTTGGTTGCATTCCCAGTTTCTCCTTAATGCAGGAACCATTCTCAGATGTTGCAGTGTGTATGTGATTAAAGTGTGAAAATCACCTCTGGGCAGAGTGTCAGTACGAAGCCCCGCCCATGTGCCACTTACACCCTTTTATGTTGGCGCTCTGCACAGGGGAGAATTTGACTGAAAGACGTATGTTTATTGAAAACATTCTAAAAATATCATAAAAATAAGTAGTGACGGTCTCCAGAGGCAAGAGCAGTAATAAAATTGCCTCAGATAATAATAGTTTCTTCAATCGCACAAAATGACCACAGTCTGACAGGATACCACCATCTCAGGAAATATTTTTGCCTTGGGCAGTATTTTACTGCTATCCCTTTCCAATTCAATTAGTATTTGTATAATAATCCCTCTGTCTCTCTGCACGCATAGAGAGAGAAAGAGATTCATACTTTATAATACTTAATCTTATCAGTGCCACAATATGGATTCATGCAGTATCTCCTAATGATCTTAAAGGATATATTAGCAGATGATATGTCAAAACATGTATTGGATCAAATGGCAGATCAGATAAAAAATCTGATGAAGGGCAAAACTGTATGAAAAGAGTTGTACTGCTAAAGAAACAGGCAAACACCCCCCCCCCCAGTCTCACATGGAGTTATTTGCTATTTCCCACAAAAATCAGAGATGATTTAGATGGACGAGAAACTGCCATTTTGCTGTGACAATGGCAGATTTTTGAGAGGGGGTGGTGCTTTGTGTTGTGGTGGAATCCCACAATTTCCCTCACTACCACCCCCAAGAGAAACTTGTTCAACAGTGGAAATAGTGAAAATTTATCTCTGACTAATGCCCCAATCCTGCAAGCTGAACCGAGCAGGAACACCCATTGACCTCAATAGATCTCCATGTGGGCCAACCCTTATGTCTGTGCAGAGTCCAATTCAAGACAGCGGGGCTCTGTGCAGGTACAGGAGGTTTATCATTATGTATCCGATTGCAGGATCATGTGCAAAAACTCTCAGAATGAAAGACAGTAGTTTCACATGCTCTACTTAAAGTGGGCCTGGAGTTAGCAAAATAACTATATAAAAACGGCCCCTCTGCTCAATGTATCTGGTACCTATTTATCATGAAATGCCCAGGGAGATTAGAGAGACTATAAAAATAGAAAGCTCAGTAATAATGGAGGATTTCAATTATCCCCATATTGGCTGGGATACATGTCACCTCAGGACAGAGTGCAAAGATAAAATTTCTAGACACCGTTAATACCTGTTTCTTGGAGCAGCTTGTCCTGGAACCCACAAGGGGAGAGGCATTTTTTGATTAAGTCTTAAGTGAAGCCCAGGATCTGGTCCAAGAGGCAAATACAGGTGAACCACTCAGTAATAGCAACCATAATGTACATCTCTGTAGGGCAGAAGATACCAAAGAAATCCAACACAGTAGCATTTAACTTCAAAAAGGGGGACTACACAAAAATGAGGAAGCTAGTTAAACAGAAATTAAAAGGAACAGTAACAAGAGTGAAATGCCTGCAAGTTGCATGGAAACTATTTAAAAACACCATAATAAAGGCTCAAACTAAATGTATACCCCAATCAAAAACAGGCTACCATGGCTAAACAATGGAATAAAAGAGGTGGTTAGAGGCAAAAGGCATCCTTCAAAAATTGGAAGTCAAATCCTACTGAGGAAAATAGAAAGGAGCATAAACTTTGGCAAGTCAAATATAAAAATATAATTAAGCAGACCAGAAGAGAATTTGAAGAATAACTAATAAAAAACAGAAAAACTAACAACAAAACATATTTTAAGTACATCAAAAGCAGGAAAGCAGCCAAACAATCATTAGACGATCAAGGTGCTAAAGGAGCACTCAAAGAAGACAAGGCCATTGCATAGAAGCAAAATTAATACTTTTGCATTGGTCTTCTCTGCAGAGGATGTGAGGGAGATTGTCACACGTGAGCCATTCTTTTTAGGTGACATATCTGAGGAAGTTTCCCAAATTGAGATGTCAATAGAAGTAGTTTTGGAACAACTACTTGATAACAGTAATAAGTCACCAGGACCAGATGGTATTCATCCAAGAGTTCTGACGGAACTCATATATGAAATCGCAGAACTATTAACTATGGTATGTAACCTATCTCTTAAATCAGCCTCTGTACCAGACTAGAGCATAGAGAATTTAACACTAATATTTCTTTAAAAGGCTCCAGAGACGATCCTGGCAATTAGAGGCCAGTGAGCCTAACTTCAGTACCAGGCAAGTTGGTTAAAACTATAGTAAAGAACAGAATATTCAGACACATAACTGAATACAATATGTTGGGGAAAAGTCAACACAACTTTTGTAAAGGGAAATCATGCCTCACCAATCTATTAGAGGTCTTTGAGGGAGTTAACAAGCAAAAGACAAGGGTGATCCTGTTGATACAGTGTAATTGGATTTTCAGAAAGCCTTTGACAAAGTCCCACATCAAAGGCTCTTAAGCAAACTAATCTGTCATGGGATAATAGGGACGGTCCTCTCATGGACTAGTAACTGGTTAAAAGATAGGAAACAAAGGGTAAGAAAAAATGGTCAGTTTTCACAATGGAAAGAGATAAATAGTGTGGTCCCCCAAGAATCTGTTCTGGGACCAGTGTTGTTCAACATATTCAACAATGATCTGGAAAAGAGGATAAACAGTGAGGTGGCAAAGTTTGAACACAATACAAAATTACTCAAGATAGTTAAGTCCAAAGCTGAATGCAAAGAGTTACAAAGGGATCTCACTAAACTATGTGACTGGCAATAAAATGGCAGATGAAATTCATTGTCTGAAAAATGCAAAGTAGTGCACATTGGAAACCATAATTCCAATTATACAGGTCTGTCGCATCTTACGCGCATTTAACACGCGCGATTTCAACTTTACGCGGTCGGGGAAAAAAAAAAAAGAAGAGAAAAATAACAATTTTAATACTATACCTGTGGTGTGGGCGATTTCGCCCGCCATTGAACTCAATGGAATTTTGGCTATACGCGGTTTTCGCTTTACGTGCTAACCGCGTAAGATGAGACAGACCTGTACATACTAAATGACGGGGTCTAATAGCTGTTACCACTCAAGAAAGAAATCTTGAAGTCATTGTGGATAGTTCTCTGAAAATGTCTGCTCAATGTGCAGCAGCAATAAAAAAAAGCTAATACAATGTTAGGAACCATTAAGAAAGGGATAGATAAGAAGACAGAAAATATCATAATGCCACTATATGAATCCATGGTACATCCACACCTTGAATACTGCGTGCAGTTCTGGTCACCCCATTTCACAAAACATATACTCGAAATGGAAAAGTTACAGAAGTACAGAAGAACAGCTTCCATATGAGAAGAGATTAAAAAGACTGGGACTGTTCATCTTAGAAAACAGATGACTAAGGGAGGATATCGTAGAGGTCTACAAAATCATGAATGGTGTGGACAAAGAGAATAAGGAAATTTTATTTACCCCTTCACATAACACATGAATCAGGGGCACAATAGGCAGCAGGTTTAAAACAAACATAAGGACGTACTTCTTCATACAACGCAAGTCAACCTGTGGAACTTGTTGCCAAGGGATGTTGTGAAGGCCAAAAGTATAAATGGCTTCAAAAAATAATTAGATAAGTTCATGGAGGATAGCTCTATTAATGGCTGTGCGCCAGAGCAACCTCGTATATTAAAATGGTATGTATTTTTATGATGACTGTAATGATTTTAGATAGTTGCCTCGTACAAACTGAATAATGAATAAACTCACCCAACTATGTTTAAGTATTGGAGGGGTCCAAAACTAGCACTGCATACCCACCCAGAGAGTACCGAAGCAAACTACACTAAAATAATATATATTTTTAATCCTGGGTTACACAAACTAGAAGTAATCAACCCATTTTAGTGTTGGATGCCAACACTGTACATTGCTGATTCCTGCCCCCAAATTGAACACACTGACACCTAAACTATTGCTGCTCTCCTGGCTACTTCTCTTTAATACATTTACCAAAGTAATACTGCAGTACATTTTGTGCCTTTTCTTTCATCTTGTTTCCCCAGCCCCTGTCTGTTGCACACTTCAAATGACCGCTATTACCACCTACATGAGCTTTTGAAGTCCTTCTTTTTCATTCGCCGCCTCATCATTGTTCCGCGTGGGCTGGTGGAGTAGAGGCTGCGAGGTAAGGTCCCCATGTTCAGGGAACTCAGGCTGTATGCACTCATGGAGGTAGGAGAGAAGGACGAAGACACCAAAGCTGCTGTAAAAAATTGGACACTTGGCACGTAGCACTCTATAGCAGGGAACAGTGCAACATAAGCCTGCAACTCACTCATGAATCAGACAGTGTGTATAGTGCACAAAAATGGTTTGTGTATCTAGTAACAAACACACACATCAAACCTTAGGTGTGACCCTAGATAACAGCATAACCAGAATTTCAACACCATGTGAGGCATAAAAGGAACTAGGAACTAGCAAAGACACTGTAGACACAAAAATATGTACTATATACCTTATTTTAAGCAAAGTACATAAAATAAATATTTTGAGACACAATGTAAATCAATGTGTCTGGATATTGACTCTAAAAATGCCTTTTTAATAGGTGATTTCTGACATAACATTTGTAAACCATTCTTTGTATTCGAAGATCATGATGCACATAAGGTGCTGAAACCGAATGATCTAGTAATATGGTTTAACAACCAGGTCACTGAGAATTTTCAAGCCTTTCCCCATCTACAAAGACTGTCCAATTAAAGAAAGAAAAAGGCATAAGTTGTCAGAAATAACCTTGTCATAGTTATGAAAAAAGTGTGAACTGAAATGAGAGAAGTATGAGAGGAAGAAGAAGAAAAAAAATATATATGTCAGGAGGAAAAAGCGTGGAACATTACGAGGGTTTTTTTGAGGAGGCGTTTTCTGGAATTTCAAGGCTGGCATCCTGCAATGGTCAGGGTGGTAGGTGTTATAATGGTGGTAGGTGAGGAGGCTGCTGTGGTTGTTGGCACAGGAATCCCAGGTAAGTTGCCTGTTGCTCCTTTGAACCTTCACTGCCCGCATGAAGGGATGACAGGAAATAAGAAAACAAAAAGGGACCAGAGAAGAGGGAGAGGTAACTGAATTGCATAAATAAAAAGTAACAAAAATGAAAGCAATTTGAAAAGGGGAAAAAATTAATGTGGCTTTGTCCCTTTTCTTGGTGATCAGCAAACACCATGATCAACTTCAGGGATGGAAACCTTTCATCTTCCCAGAAATAATGCCTCTTATGGCTTTTTTTTAACCCCCAAAAGATAAGTACTGAATCAATTTCTAATCTCCCTCTGGCCTTAAGAGCTAAGATTAAAAACTTTTCTGAAAAATACTTAAGTCAACATTATTGAGATGTATGATATATGACTAGTAATTACAGGTTTGCAAATCTCCACCCGCATTAGCAGGACTTGTATATATTAAGAAAATAAAAAGGGACTATAAATCACATTTCCCATAATGACTTGAAGTGGTTTACATGTCAGTCATTTCAATTTTCTGCTATGACATTTTAATTTTGCAAGCATCCATCACTGGTGGTATACTACCCTGGGCAATAAACTACTTCACTCAACCATCAACACAAAAATCCTATCTTGGGGCCTGACTAATAAGGACAAAACAAAAGTCTAAAGTCACTATTTATGGTTTTGCAGCGTGATCGTCAGATCTTTTCCTTTTCCCGATTAAAATTAAGACCATATTTGATTCCTACTCTCAGGTTTGTGCTCAAAATGGGAATTGCCAAAATTTGTCAAAAAAATAAATGGTGGGAGGGGGGAGAAGGGAATGGCACATGTTGATCGATTTGCCAAAAGCCAGGGGGCGGCTCCTAAATTATACAAAATGGTACAGATAATAGCCACCCTCATTTTTAGTACCGAGATGTATCTCTAGATGCACAGTGGTCTGTTCACTCTGAAAAAGATGGAACACAGTATTTTGTGACCTGTAGTCAGTGATTAATTTGTAATGAAAGAGGTGCTGTGGCTCAAAGAATTAGGTTCCAGGCTCAAGCAATTTTTTAACTTTCATAACTGACACAGCGCCAGAGGTGCCGAGGCTATGAACTGCCAAGTCTAGAGGCGTCAGCCCTGGTAAGCCCTAGAACAAATTAAGCACTGCCTGTAGTCACCACTGGCTTCACCTTTGTATTGAAAGATGAGGTGGGATTTATCAAACACTATGAGCTACATTTGGTCCAAGGCCTAATTAAATGCCAGAGGAAAAGCTATAGTTTTTCTCTCTTTTATATTATAGAAGTAGGATCTCTTTCTTGGCTGAATACATTAAATCTTTTGTATCTAAATAGAGATTGCCCTCCCTCCCCTGCCCCAACCCCAGTGGAATGTTTCATTACAACAAAGGGTAGGTGAGGGAAGGTAAAAGGAAAGGAATGTATTGGACTTAAAAAATAAAATATGTTTTGCCAACACCACTTTATAAACCATTTGAGGGTCACCTGCAGTGAAATTAGGACATTCAGTTCCTGGACAGAACCACTAAGCTTCACTTCACAGTCCAATAGACTGATGCCTGAACAGCTCACCGATCTAATTCTAATAAAAGTAACCTTGAAGAAGTCTATAAAAACTTACATATCAAGCAGGGTAATGTGACCAGGAAAATCCCAGCAGCCCTAGTAACAATCTATCTCAATATTTTGTTTTAATGAATCCAACTTACTGTAGTTTCCTATCATAACTTTTCAAATTCAACTGATTCTTCTTCTGATAATCTATGTCAATTTCTGAGCTTTAACCATGGTATAAAAATTAAAATCTGATAAGAATAATATGGCCAGGAGGATTTTCATTATATTCAGATTGCTATGAGCCCCGTTTAATTAAAAAGGCTGCTTCCAGCAGGAAATTATCTGGCAGCTCTTGATTTTTTTTCTCTTGAACTGTGGATAGGTGTAAAAAGTGTCCTATGAGGTGGAAAGTCCATACAAATTAAGTTTTCATATCTTGCAGAATGATCATTCCAATTCAATAAGAATTCTGTATAAACCTATAGCATGCACGTTAGTAATTCATTGAGCTATACCGGCCCAGGACTTCTTAATGCTGCAGTAAAATTTATGGGGCAGCAGTAGACAAAGGAATGAGTTTGGCATCCCAATATAAAAGAAAAAAACCTTAAAAACAAATCGGGTCTCTTGCGCTTTTTTTTTTTTCTTTCTTTTTGGCTCAACTCTTTATTCTTCCATTAACTCTCTTTAGGTATTTTGGTTTGATTTTGGGTTGGGTGGTTTTTTGCTTTTTTTTGCCAGTTCATAATTCAGCGCACATTCTAGGGTGAACGATAACTGCGTTCAACAGCGAGAGCCTTAATGACTCAACAGATCATAGAATCATAGAAGATGGTGATGCAAAGTACTTTTATACCATCCAGTCCATCTCTCAGCCAATGAAGGATTGTTCCCAAGGCTACATATGTTTCCATAAAGCATGTTTCCTCTTGAGTAGGCTGTGGTTTTTAAGTAGCACCACCTGGGAATCTATACTCAAAACATTTGGGCTCTTCTGGTTAATTTAAGGCAGCTGCCTCGTTGTCTAGGGAGAGCTCCCCTAGAAAGATATCCTTGCATAAATGTCACTGAATCCTCTTGATGTCATTTCACAAAGCTCAATGCCCATACGCAGCACAACAACTATACGAGCCTCCAGATTGCAGCTGTGTTAGGTGAAGGTGAATGGTATATAACAGAAGCCTTGAAGGAAGACCTTGAAGTATTTAGTATTGTCTTAAAAAGCAAATTATAATCAGCTGTACAAACAGATTGCTACTGAATAGAATCTTTTGGCCATGGTACTAAACTTTTAACAGAAGAGAGCCACTTCATCCTCAAAGGGAGTTTCAAACAGTCACAAAATAGCCACATGTTTGCCTCATGATGTTGCATAGTTTGTAACATACTGGCACAACTGTATGGTAGGGAAATAAATCATCAACCGTGGTCTCCCCTCCCCTCACCCCTCTACAGCTTTTGAGCACAGGTGTCATCCCTCACTTTCTCTCATCCCTCCAGACTGCTGTGCAGAAGAGGGATGGAGACCCAACTGGAGGATGGCAGAACATGGAATCCCAGGAGCTACTCTTCATGTATCCCAGTAGGGGAGAAACTAAGTGGCATCCAAAACACTGGTTCATCAGTTCACAGCTTGCTGCTCTCTGATAAAATGAATAGATCACAGATCAGGTGCCTATTCAGGGAGCTACATTCAGCCATGTATCTACCAGCATTTCTTATCACTGAAATATCTAGGCCTATAAAGCAGACTCTTGACCAAAGAAGCCACAGATTTAGTATTGCTGTCTTTGGCACTAAAATGCATCGAGTCTCTCACTACAGCATAGATATCCCAGTGTTGTAGGTATCTATCTATCTCCAATATTTCTGCTGAAGATATACAATATTATTAGGTTGAATTTATCTGTGGATAATTGAGATTAACCACTTTTCATAATTATCCAATCCACAAGATATTCACTCTCCATATTTGGGCTGAATAAAAACAGGTGTCACATGTCTGGTTGGAAAAGTTCCTTTCTGCATAGCATTATAATATAACATCAGGAAACAGTAAATTGAACTAGGGTACGGACTATGGGGAAATGTCCATAAACAAACATTACAATTTGTAAGTATCTAAACTGGGCAGCAGAGTAATTTGAAAAGCTCCCTTGAGAAGGATGGCAATCAAGGACAATGTTATTAATAAGAGAAATTCAGTCTTTTGGAAGTATTTTGAGACAGGAGCCTCAAGAACTTATCAGGGTTTACAGAAAGTAGGTGAATCCATGGGCATTCATAATACCCTTCAAAGTGAATATGCTTAAAGAAGTTGGTAATGATCCATATTATTTTTTCCATTTTGAGAAGCTATTCAGAGTATAATTCACTGAATTCATAGATAGCTTGTTTTCTTTCATATAACTACAAAGGTATATTCACCAACTCTCTTTTTTATATGACTGGAACTATGCAGAGGCACTTTCAGCAAAACATTTTCTCCTTATTTTTAGGGATTTCTGAGGATAGATTGAGATAAACAAACAGTACACAGCTTGCAAGAGGTTTTCAGAAGCATAACCCGGCGAGCTGAAAAGAAAGGTTACAGATAAAATTGCCTTAATATCTTTCCCCCGAGTTACAGCAATGGCAGTAGATATGAACATGCAAGAAAGAGGAAGTGGAATCTAGTGCTACAGATCCCCTTACCGTGTTCTGGTCCCTTCAATGCTAGCCGAGTCTGATGGTGAGGAAGGATCTCAAGTTTGACGTTGTCTGCTGTATTAGCCAAGAACTGTGTTGCTTCTGCCAATGTACAGTACTCCATGCTGGTACCATCGATGGACAGAATATGGTCTCCTACGTGTAATGCACCACATCTATACAAAGGGAGAAAAACTCAGTATGATAAAGTGTGCTCTTTGCTTGGTATATGAGTTTTATAGCCTTCAAATTGGTCATGGCAATTATGAGACTGTACATTTTTAGAGAGAAAAAATTAATATTTTTATAAGGATTGTCACTGGACAAACTTTAAGTCTATTAGTACAAATCTTAAATACAATTCGGTAAATACAGTATATGTCAAGACATCACTCACAGAACTGGAATGGGGTACTAGTTGATTACTAGTATATGTGTGAATGGCAGCAGAATAAATGAGAAGAGCTTAAGGAGACTCAGCAAGCCTGCTCATATCCCTCACACAAGCACCCAGTTCATCATTTTTTGAGTTATTCATAGTTAAACATTTATTAGTACAAAAGCTGTAAATGATGATGAAATTATGCAGTAGTCAAACAAATAATGAAACCAGGGCTGGCATGGTGACTCGAGGAGTGGGGTGGGGAGGGGGCTAGCTGCTACATCTTGCTGCACTCAAGAGACTGGCTACTGGATGAGTTGAGAAATGCAAACACAGCAGTCAGCATCCCGACGTACCAGTCAAGTGGACAGCTCCTTTAATTGGTTACCCCCTGTGGAATGGGAAAAAACAGAGGGAGAAAATTAAAGCATCCTGCACCATTGAGCTGGAGAACCCCTCTGGATCAATGGCCGTCACTCTCAAAGGTTCTACTGTAGGGTAAAGCCCACAGTGGAGCTGTAGACTCACTGTTACAAGTGGGTGCTACTAACAGCACCATTGGCAAAGAGGAATTACAAGGAAGGGTGACTGGGGACATGCAGGAGAAATTTGCTGCTGAAACATAATATTTAAGGCAAATTTAAAAAAAAGATCCCACAGCTTTACTACAGAGGTTACACCATCTGGGGCAGGGGTGGGCAACCTGCGGCCTGTCAGGGTAATCCGCTGGCGAGCCGCCAGACAGTTTGTTTACATTGCACAGCTGCCTGCAGCTCCCAGTGGCTGCGGTTTGCCGTTCCCGGCCAATGGGGGCTGTGGGAAGTGGCAGAGGGACGTGCTGGCCACCGCTACTAACCACGAACTGCAGCCACTGGGAGCTGCGGGCGGCCGTGCAAATGTAAACAAATTGTCTGGCGGCTCGCCAGCGGATTATCTTGATGGGCTGCGTTCGACCCATGGGCCACAGGTTGCCCACCACTGATCTGGGGGAAAGTATCTAACCTTTTTTTTTTTTTCTGTTTGTAAATATAATTTTATCTCACGATGGTGGAATTTTTCAAATGGAGCTGAAAAAGGGATTTTCCTTATAAAATAACTCTAAAATACAGAAGCCAGTCTTTCTAATACCTCAGGGGTATTCTAAAACCTTCATAAGAAAAAAATCCAAGTATAAGGAGTTCCATTTCACTCTGCCACAAGAATGAACGATGCACCCTAAAAGAGCACTTCATGGTTGCTAAGTCTCAAAATTTACTTACTTTGACAGATGTTTCATACTGTGGGACTTACTTTAAGAATTGCAGCAGGGTATTTATTTTTAATGCTAATCACTGCTGCAGCATTATATTTTAAAAAACCAAGCAAACCTTCAAATTACTCTGCAGCACAGCATAAGCAAACAGGTTCAGACATACTAGAAAGAGGAGACAGTGTTTTTTTATGGGGTGACATAGGGTATTGTTGGGAGTTGGTTTGTTTTTTTCTGTAATTTAATGCCGTGTGAATGAGCAAAAGTAAAATGGTGTCTGGGAATCTTTTTAAAAGCTCTACATTATAGAGCTACTGTTTGCCAAGAGGGGTTAATTTTAAGCTCTAACAACCTTGAGAGCGTCTTCTTCAGTCAAATTCATCTAAAATGCCAAGGGAAGTTTTTTTAAACCGCAACAAAAATACAGATAAGATATAAAATGGATGCGTAATCCTATAATGTAGGGCCTTCTGTAGCACTCACCTGTCTGCAATACTTGCAGATTTGATTTTGTCTATGACAATGACCTGTTTGTTGCAGCACATCGAGGTAGTAAGTGCAACCCCAAGAGCAGCACCAGGAGTTTTGGCAACTTCGACTAGCAATGGTCCAGATGCTGTTGCTACCGAATCTGTTAAAATTAGACCAAAAAGAGTATTTCAGTATTACACCAATTTGGTATCTGTGCCATTTTCATATTTCATTTTCACAGAAAATCTCTACAACTAATGTATTTATCTAGGCCGCAAACAGGAAAACCACATTGGACTGGGGAGTTCCAGAGGGAGCGATTATGGGGTTTAAATAATTAACTAGGGAGCCTATATTTTGAGTGTGGAATGAATGAAAGTGAGAGCAGGTCAGTAAAGTCATTGTTGATAATAAGGTGTCGAGGTTAGGCACACGAGAGCTCTGACTCGAAGAACCCTATGAAGCAGCAGACAGATGCAATTCTGAGATGGAAAGAAAGAACAGAATGACTTGCTAAGAGACAGCAACTGAAGTAAAAATTTATCAGGGACATAGAATGCTATTTAAGTAACTAAGGCAGTGAAAAGTTAAAGATGTTTCAATATCTGAATGAAGACCAGTAGAGCTACATACGTAGGAAGTGAATAGGTATAAAAGTATAAGATGTATAAAAGTGCATGCTGGTTTAGTTTTTGGAGAAGTGGAGGGCCTTTTATAGTAACTGAAATGGCTGAGAGAAAAAGGTGAAGGAAAATTTGATGAGAGGTGGAATCACCAGACTCAGGCTGAGATAACAGAAAAGACCATTGTGAAGAAAATGGAAGAAGTGACTGTATGGCAACTAGAAATAGTATGAAGAGCAGAAGAGAAAGGTGTGTGGAGTGATGCAAGAGACACTTGCCATAGATGCCCTGTCCTTAAAAAGGAGAAAGAACAGTCCAAAGATAGTAACTCAACAACTGGCCAAGAAGAAAGCACTGAATAGAAACCAGAAAGAAAGAAGCAGCAAATGAATCTAATTAGTGACTCTGTGTTGAGGAACTAAGCCCAAAATATTTGTTACGCAGATCAAGGGAAAAAGACGGTAGTCTGCCTCCTGAATGCCAAGATAAAGCATGTGATAATAAAGGTGAAGTATATTCTGAAAAATAACTGGGGAATCCCTACCAGCTATTGACAATCAGGCAACAAATGAGATAAGTGAAAGGGAGATTTGAGAAAATGAAGATACATTTCAGGGATGTAAGACGACAACTGAAAACTGGTAAAAAGTAAATTGATCTTTTCAGAGGTGCTCTCAGTGCCACACATCAGTGGAGAAAGGAGAATATTAACATTGCAGTAAACTTAATGGATGTACAGAAGGAGTTTTGGTTCACAGAACACTGGGATGCCTGCTGTGAGGAGAGGCACACTTTAAGATGTGACGGCATCCACAGAAGCTGCTGGGACTGAAATTGGTACTGTTTATTAGCTGGGATTTAAACTAGTTAGGAAAAGGTAAAGGGGACATGAGGTCTTTTATTGAATATTAAAGAATCTGTCATGTATTTCCAATACACAAAGTGTGACAGAAAATGGAATTCTGCAGAAGAGGAAGAATGTGATGGCGTGATTCAAGAGACACCTGCAATAGATGTCCTATCCTTGACAAGGAGAAGGAACTATCCAAGAACAAGCCAAAGATAGCAACTCAACAAGTGGCCAAGAAAAAAGCACTGAACAGGAACTAGAAGATTAAGAATGTGAAATGTTGTATTATTGTCCCAAAGCATAAATACCGGGGAAAAGGTGTGTGGGAAGTAAACAAACAGAACTGGAAATACTATTAAATAATGAAGGTTGGGTGGTCCTCATAACTAATATACAGGAATGAAAGGGAGTGAAAAGAAGAAAGAGGTGGTGGGGTAGAATTGTTCATGATGTTAGAGGTATTAGCTAATTATTCTTCACAAAACCTCCTGTGAAGTAGCTTGATATTATCATCCCCTTCTTGCAGATGGAAAATTCAGGTAGAGAAATCAAGGCTAACTTTTCCAAGAGTGGCCACTAATTTGGGGTGCCTCAATTTTGTGCCCAACTCAGACCCCTTGGGTCTGATTTCCAGAGGTGCTGGACATCCATAGACACTATTAAAATCAAAGGAAGTAGAAGGCACTTAGCAACTCAGGCCAAAAATGTCTCAAGTTGAGTTCCCAAAACAGAGGCACCCAGAAGTATCCTTTTGAAAATGTTTCCCTAGTTGACTTGCTTATGGCCGAAGGTGTCCATTGCAGAGACTAGAACTTATGAACTCCTGGCTCCCAGTCCTGTGCTTGTTGTCATTTTTTCAACTATTTTTGTCTACTGATGTTTGGAACTACAAACAAATGATTTGAGCATCAGTATTTTATGATACTCTGTAAAGAAGAAAGCCATTTTTGTAATAAATATTGTGGCAAAGGGTTGTACCAATAAAGATTCTGCAAGTGATAAACTTTAACCTGGCATTGGCCTGTCACTAGAAAGTACTTCCCATAATCTATGTCTCCCCTACAACAACAAAGAAAAAAGAAGATGCTAATGTCATCTGGTGATACTGAGTCAATGTCTCAAGATGCTGCTGCAGTGCTTGCAAAGTTACTTGTAAGAGGAAAAATCAGCTTATTCCCTGGCAGCATTTCTAGATGTCTGTTGAGATGTACTGGGAAGGTAAACGAAACTAAGGTAGACAAGGTGAATAAATAAGATAACTACATTAGAGAAAGCAGAAGAAAAGAAATGGAGTGTGTCTAACTGAGAAAAATAAACACAAGAAAGAGAAATCTGGAAAGGATAATCAAGTGCATATCCCCTGACAGAGAAGGATTAGTTTATCATGTTGAAGTAAAGCATGGGTATGAAAAATGAATCATACAGATATAAATTATTCATGTCTAAAGATGTTTCAGTCATTAAGATATTTACACCATGACTGAAGCATTTACACACCGTGTTGATTTACTGGCTATGTAATTATATAAGATATACTGATGAATGTTTGCATGGAAAACACTCTAGAATTTTTATTTCGTTAATCACTTTCCCCACTTTTGAGCAGTGCATCTCAATCAGTATACAAGGCTTGATTAAAACCTCCCAGAGGCTGTGAAATTACTTTCTGCATGCTAACAACCACCTTGCCTAGATTCATGTTTCTTCAGATAAATAGTAGGGAACCGTTTTTGCTTGTCAACTTTGACCATTAGCAAAAAGGCCTATCATATTTAATGTATTACTCAAACCAGTGGCAGATTTAGAGTTAGTGGGGCCCTGTGTGCAGCTTCATTTTTGGCCCCCCCAGTAGCAGTGACAGCGGCCAGGAGGCCCGGGGCCTTTTAAATTGCCGGACCAAGGGGCAGCTGCCCATTTTGTCCCCCCATCGGCGGCCCTGGGTGCAGGGGGTGCTGCAACACCCCCACGTTTTATGTGGGGCTCTGCTGCCGCCCCACGCCATTTATGTTAAAACATATTGTTAGGAGCACAGAACCATCCGGGGTCCTGGGGAGACAGGGAGGTGCCGGTGCCAGAGCCCGGCCATGGGAGCTGCAGCGCGGCCGCAGCGGCTAAGGGTGATCGCAGCCGCCTGCTTTGCAAGGACCCAGTGGCCAGGGGAGGCGAGCAGAGATCAGCATCCGAAGGCAGCAGGGCGCTCAGGTGGCCGCCGATGGAGCCGTGCTCCCCGCCCCACCTACAGGTGGGTGTTCTGCCCACTTCTCCGGGCCAGCCAGCGGGGCAGCAGCAGAGCCTGCAGAGCCTTGGGCGCGGGGCGGCAGCCGGGACCTCAGGCGCAGGGTGGCAGCGGAGCCCGCAGAGCCCCGGGCGTGGGGTGGCAGCCAGGACCCTGGGCGCAGGGTGGCAGCGGAGCCCACAGAGCCCCGGGCGTGGGGTGGCAGCCAGGACCCCGGGTGCAGGGTGGCAGCAGAACCCGCAGAGCCCCAGGCGTGGGGCGGCAGCCAGGACCCCGGGCGTGGGGTGGCAGCGGAGCCCG